GGCAGCAAAAGTTATTCTAGAAAAATCAGTGCACAATTTTAGAAATCCAAACATTTAGTGAAAAAACTATTTTGTGGGAAACAAATAAAAGTGTTGCACTAAATATGGTAACATGTAACACATTGCTATTTGTATTATAAAATCCATTCATGGATTTATTTATGGATGTATTTATGTACAAGTATATACTATATGATTAAAATACATTTCTTTTAAATGTATAGCATATTTTTTAATAAGGCAACAACATATGATAGATTCGATAGGACAAAACAAATACAGTGCAGCACGAAGCGCTTACAATATGCGCATCCAGTGTGCAGAATGATGCGCTTGAAGCAACATGGAGTCACAGCACGCAGCACTTTGCATTAAAAAGTGCAAAGCACAAAGGGAAGAGAAATTGATGCATAGTTTATTATATCTGTGCAACAGTTATTGAGCCTTTCTTTTAACAGTTTTAAATTTCAGTTACTGTGCGCGTTAACAACTATTTATAGTCTTTTCTTCGCCCCTGTTTTGTTCTCACAGACACCTGGTAGCAAGTAACAAAACAACATTAAACTCCGGCAAGAAGACAAAGTCCTTTTTGCAGAATCATAGACATGTATTTATAAATCAAGTATAATGGGAACACAAAATGATCTTGGAGAGAGCTTTACCGAGCTGACTGCTGTAACCGAACGCGACCAGGGTTTAAAGGCTGAACGAATGACTGACAGCCACAGCGGAGAAAAGAGTTTGTGTGAACTTTATTGTAAGGACTTAAATATCCATATGTAGCTCACAATAAAGGTATACGGTTTCTACGTGTATTTACGATTTGATTTGAATGAAAACAGTGCATCCGTGCAGCGCGGCTGACACAGAAGAGCGTACGCTGCTTGCGTTCAGCGGGTATTCTCAAAAATGGCGCTACGGTGATGCGGAGAGACAAAGAGGAGACCAATTGTTGAATAAAGTTGTTATTTTTTATTTCTTCGCATACAAAATGCATTCTCGTCAACTTTATAACGTTACGGTTGAACCACTGATGGCAGATGGACTATTCTGACGATGTCTTTCATACTTTTCTGGACCTTGACAGTGTAATTTACTTGGCAGTCAATCGGACAGTCACAACCCTCCTGTTTTTGATCCAAAATATCTTAAATTGTGTTCCGAAGACGAACGAAGCTTTTACGGGTTTGGAACGACATGGGGGTAAGTGATTAATGACAGAATTTTCATTTTGGGGTGGAGTAACCCTTTAAGCTATCGTATGGCTTCAGAAGTAACACAGAATAATATTCACAATCTCGGATTTGGATCGGCCCTCTCTGACCGATACCCGATCCGACAAAAAAATGGCAGTATCGGAGCCGATACCCGATATGAATATCGGATCGGCGCATCCCTAATTATGAATGACCAGGATTAATCATTAACTCTAGGTAAAGTATGAACAGTGAGAAACATAACATACGATTACCCAGGATCTCATTTACCTGGGGTTTAGAATTACCCAGTGTTAATTATTTCAAGTGTGTGTGAGAGACCTTAAATGTTTGAGGTACTATCAGTGATTCTGCCAAATATGGCATTTAGCAGTAAATACTACTTGATCTATGACTATGCTTCACATTTTATAACAATAAAAAAGAAAAATACATTTTAATAATTAATCCAAGTGAGGCAAATCTTGGTTTATTGATGTGAATAAAATGTGTTGCAAAAGCAACTGGTTTTCCCTATGAGGCGTGGGATTTGTTTCAAACATGTTGTGATACTGCATACATGAACTCGGTAACACTTTAGAATAAGGAACACATATTATTCACTATTAGTTTTCCCTGAACAAACTCCTAATTTGCTGCTTATTAATAGATAGTAAGGCGTAGTTGTTAAGTTTAGGTACGGGGTGGATTAAGGGATCTAAAATACGGTCATGCAGAATAAGGCATTAATATGTGCTTTATAAGTACTAATAAACAGCCAATATGCTAGTAATATGCATGCTAATTTATAAGTACTAATAAACAGCCAATACGCTAGTAATATGCATGCTAATAAGCAGCTAGTTAATAGCAAGAATTGGTCCTTAAAATAAGGTGTTACCGTGAACTTTTGGTAGCTTCAGAAGCTGTTAAAATGAACAAAATCCCTTCTTCCAAATATACCTGAAACTAATTCAAATATAGAATCTTGTGAATAGACTACAGAGAGCAAGGTAATGTGCCTCAACTTGACCATTTTCAGTGCATTTTAAGCACTCAGACAGGTATGTTGTTTTGATAGAGGTAAACAAGATCCAATTCTAATTTCAACAATATTTATTCTTCAGACATTGTTCTTTAAATAAAACAAGTATTGTCTGTATACAAAGTGACCAACATTTGGTTTTCAACCACTGAACATGGGTATTATTCAACAATCTGGACATGATCCCATATCTCTGGGACTGAATGATGTAGGGCCTTGAAAATAAAGATTCCAAAAGACAAGTTTAATAAGAACTAGAATCTAAAATCATATTGCAATATCTTTAATAATACTTGAGTCATAGGCACGCAAACTTTGGAAAAAGAATACTTATGGCACTCAGACAGGTATGTTAAATGCAGTTGTTTTGACAGAAGGAAACAAGATACATTTCTAGTTTCAACATTATTTGTTCTTCAGACATACCTCTTTTTTTTTCTTTTTTTTTTTTAATAAGTATCATATTTTTGCAAAGTGACCCACATTTGGTTTTTGACCACTGAAAATGTGTATAATTTAAAGATTTGTTCCTGGAGTCATACTGAAACTCCAATATCTCTGGAACCGAATCATATAGGGCCTTAAAAATGAAGATGCCAAAAGGGAAGTTTGTTAAGACCGACTATCTAAAAGCGCATTAAGATATCTTTAATACTTTTTGAGTTACAGGCCTGCAAACTTTGGAGAAAAAACTTGAAAAGTGCTCTTTCCCCATTTTTGGTGTAAAAATAACATAAGGATGATGACATCTTTCTGAAGTCATTTTTAACCCCCTGTAATTTGTCTCTGAATCTCAGGTAAAAATTGCCATTTCGACTCCCCTCTACAAAACAGTGGAAAACTCAGAAAATATTCATCCATGACATTTAATATTTTGGCTTTCATCACTATACATGTTTATCTTTCTTCAGAAAAAAATATTAGCAAAATAAAAAATTTGACTCACTCATAAGAGCTAATGCCTTGGAGATCCTGAGACAAAAACCACCCATACAGTAATTAAGATCTGATTCAGTCCAGTCTATCAACAGGACAATGAAGTTACCAAAAAAAATAAAGTTTAAAAAGTATATATATTATGTCACGAACCATTCATATAATACTTTGACAATGACAATAACGTTGCAAACGGTGCCACCTGCTGTACAAAATAAGTAATCACTTTAACACAATCCAACAGCACCAAGGTATAACATACCAAAAATCCATATGCATTACACCAACCACTGCTGACCATTTTAGAATTGCCTAGGAAGAAAGCCCAAAATAAACTAAACCAAACTAACTGTGTTCTGTTTTAGCTGCAATAGACTTAATAAATGTGGTAAAAAGCATATTTACACAGTAGATTCAATAATACATTTCCCTCCTCTGCCGAAACCATGAAGCATGTCTAGAAACCAGAATATTAGTGATATGAGATGGGCTATGTTGGCTATTTGTATTATTATTATTCAGAAAGAAAGAAAGAAAGAAAGAAAGAAAAAGAAAGAAAGAACGAAATAAAGAAAGAAAGAGCGAAAGAAAGAAAGAAAGAAAAAGAAAGAAAGAAAGAAAAAGAAAGTTTATTAGTAGTAGACTAGAACGCGTGGATATGTTGTCATTCTTACACTATAATACTGAACTTAGATTTCAGTGATTTGGACTATGAGATGGACACTTGCTTCTTGCACTCTATGTTGCATTTACTTTTGCTTTAAAAAAAGGATTTCATAGAAATTTGGATTTCATTTGGTTTAATAAAATATTCTAATAAAATATTCTAGTACTACTAAGTAAAATTGTTGATTTTTTTTGTGGGAAATTAATCGTTTAGATTAATCGATAAATTAGTCGATAGATTAATCGAA